GCGGGGGAGTGGGGTTGATCAGGGCGGGGGAGTGGGGTTGATCAGGGCTATGGGGGGAGAGCGGGGGAGTGGGTTGATCAGGGCTATGGGGGAGAGCGGGGAGTGGGGTTGATCAGGGCTATGGGGGGAGAGCGCAGGGGGGAGTGGGGTTGACCAGGGCTATGGGGGGAGAGCACGGGGGGGGGGTTTGATTTGGAAGCTCTTTTCTCAGAGCGAACAGACACGATGGGCCGAATGGCCTCCTTCTGCGCTGTGTAATTCCGTGACGCTATGATTTGACACAGCGCCCGATCGCATCGCGGTGACGTCTCAAAGCGCTTCACACAGTACACTGTACAGTGCAGTGACTGTGTGTTTTGTGGGCGAAACGCGGCAGCCGACTGCGCACAGCAGCGTTCGCCCCGCAAACAGCCGCGGGTTGAAGCCACCAAATTATTATCTTATTTATTTTCAGGGGATTATTACCCCCGGAAAGTGATCCGCCAATCGACTAACAACCGGGTTACTACTGACTGCCGGTAACCAGAGGCGTGTGCGTGTGCGCGTGTGTGTGCACGTGTGCGTGTGAGTGTGAGAGTACCGTCTCTAACCCTGACCTGGGAGTGTGGACGGACGGACGGACAGTGTAGAGGGACCTTTACTCTGTGCTGTTACCTGTTGTTGGACGTCACCGCTGATTGCTGTGAGGTTCTGGGCTGTGTCCCGTGTTTCCCGCCCCCAGACCCGCCAGTCCCTGAGCGGCCCTCGGAGGTCTCCTCCGAACGCCTCCACACGCTGTGGTTAAACCGGGCGGAAGAGAGGATTTTACTCAAAGAAGAGACTCCCTCCCTCCTCACTCACTCACTCCCTCACGTACTCCCTCACGTACTCACTCACTCTCTCGCGCTCTCTTTTGAACACCCTCGTTCTCTCTATCCATCACTCTCTCTCTCTCCCATTAGCGATCTCTCTCTCTCACTCTCTCTCTCGCGACCGCTCCCACGTCCACTCTCTCTCTCTCTCTCACTCTGGAACTCTCTCCCCTCAATCCCTGCTCCATGCCCACAACCCCGACCCCCCCCCCCCAACCCCCGCCGCCTCCCCCCACCCACCCCTCAACCCAACCGAGATGGTTTGGTACCCGTGCGTATCGCTCCAGGTCCCCGCGTAACCGTGGCGTCTGCTCCAGGGTCTCCCTCACGCGTCGGCTGAGGTTGGCCAGCAGGAGGCGCTCTCCCTCCGCCCGCTCGGCTAACCGTTGCCCGGTCTCGGCCGCTGCTCTCGCCGTCTGGAGATCGGAGTAGACGCACGAGAGAGAGAGAGAGAGAGAGAGAGAGAGCGAGAGAGAGAGTGAGGCACCGGAGTGGCGGTGAGGGTGGGTTGGGGGGGTGGGGGGGGCGTTAGAGAGTGTGGGAGGTGGTGGGGGGTTAGTGCTCGACCACACGGGAGGGTTAGAGCAACATTTCTCCCTCTCTCTCCTCTTGCGGTCACTAAGAGAATCTGCGGACTGCGCCTCCCAGAGAATTCCACATCCCCACTGCCTTCTGCGTCCAGAGATTTTTTTCCCCCCTCCGACCTCCACCCCCCACCCCCCCCACACCCCATTACCCATTAACCTCACCCCCTTCTGACCCTTCTGGCCCTCTCCCCATCGCCAAAACGTCTGGACTTCCGAGATCCTCGACACTCGCTCGTGTTCAGTTATACCCCTTCGCTCTCTGGCACATCCCCGGCTCCCCCCCACCCCCTCACCCCCTCACTCCCCCCACCCCCTCACCCCCTCACTCCCCCACCCCCCCACCCCACTCTCCCCCAAATCCTCCTCCTGTTAGTCCCGCACACCATCTAATTATTATTATTTATTTGAAGGGATTATTCCCCCCGGAAAAGCCGTCCACCAGTCAACCAACAACCGGAGGAGTGGGTGTGTGGAGAGGGGGGAGGAGGGGGTAAGGGGGGGGTAAGGGGGGGGGGGTAAGGAAACTTGCCCAATGTTTCGCCCTGACCTGACCCGCCCGGGTCCTCTCCCTCTCGCCAGGCGGGGGCTCTACCCCCTGAGCCACGAGAGATGGCTTACCGCCTGGCACTCCCGGTAGGCGCCGTCCATTGCCGCCACCTTGCCCCTCAGGTTGCCCGTGGCCTCTGCCTGTCGCTGTACCCGCCCGATCGCCCCCCGGCTCAGGCTCTCAGCTGCGACCTCCGCCTCCTCCATTTGCTCCGTCAGCTGCCGTAGCCGGCCCAGCCCAGCCCGCAGGAGCCCTGCCGAGCCAACAGGGCAGTTAGGGTATGTGGTGGCTAGTGGCAGCTACAAGGGGCTAGTGACAGGCACAGAGGGCTAGTGGCAGCTACAGGGGGCTAGTGATAGGCGCAGGGGTTAGTGACAGGCGCGGGAGGCTAGTGGCTGGTGCAGGGTGGCTAGTGACAGGCCCAGGTGGTTAGTGACAAGTGCAGGGGGCTAGTGGCAGGCCCGAGGGGCTAGTGACAGGTGCAGGGGGCTAGTGACAGGTGCGGGGCCTAGTGGCTGGCGCAGGGGGCTAGTGGCTGGCGTGGGGGGGCTAGTGACCGGCGCAGGGGTAGTGAGGTGCGGGGGCAGTGACAGGCCCGGGGGGCTAGTGACAGGCACAGGGGGCTAGTGACAGGCGCAGGGGGCTAGTGACAGGCGCGGGGGCTGTAACCCAGCACAGCGGCGCGGGGGCTAGTGGCAGGGGGGGGCAGTGACAGGCGCAGGGGCTATTGGGAGGCGCGGGGGGCCAGTGACAGGCACGGGGGGCCAGTGGCAGGCGCGGGGGGCCAGCACAGGGGGGAGGGGTCTAGTGGGAGGCGCGGGGGCCAGTGACAGGCGCAGGGGGCTAGTAACCCAGCACAGGGGGGAGGGGGCTAGTGGGAGGCGCGGGGGGCCAGTGACAGGCGCAGGGGGCTAGTAACCAGCACGGGGGAGGGGGGGGGCTAGTGGGAGTGCAGGAGGGAGCACCTTGGAGAGATGTGGCTGCTGTACTGACCCATCGTTGGGCCTCTCTCTCCAGTCGCTCTGACCGCTGTGTCTTGGCGGCCGCCAGGCTGCGGGCCTCGTGGAGGGTGGGCAGAGAGGTCTCCAGGGCGGCCATGCCAGCCTCGGCCCTCGCCCCCACCCTCAGCGCCTCCCGCGCCCGAGCCAGACCCTCAGCCCCCACCTCGCTCAGCTCCCGCAGCTGAGGGGGAAGGACAGTGGGGGTCACAGCACAGCACCTCCCTGTGCGTGTACCTCTGTGCGCGTGTACCTCACCGTGTACGTATCTGTGCACGTGTGCGCATCTGTGTGCGTGTGTATATCTGTGCGCGCGTGTGTGTATCTGTGTGTGTGTATCTGTGTGTGTGTCTGTGTGTGTGTGTATCTGTGTATCTGTGTGTGTGTATCTGTGTGTGTGTGTATCTGTGTGTGTGTATCTGTGTGTGTGTATCTGTGTATCTGTGTGTGTGTGTATCTGTGTGTGTGTATCTGTGTGTGTGTATCTGTGTATCTGTGCGTGTGTGTATCTGTGTGTGTGTATCTGTGTGTGTGTATCTGTGTATCTGTGCGTGTGTGTATCTGTGTGTGTGTATCTGTGTGTGTGTATCTGTGTATCTGTGCGTGTGTGTATCTGTGCGCGTGTGTGTGTATCTGTGTATCTGTGTGTGTGTATCTGTGTGTGTATCTGTGTGCATGTATGTGTGTGTGTGTGTGTGTGTAGCTCAGTGTGTGTGAGTGTGTGTGTGTGTAGCTCAGTGTGTGTAAGTGTGTGTGTGTGTAGCTCAGTGTGTGTGAGTGTGAGTGTGTGTGTGTGTAGCTCAGTGTGTGTGGGTGTGTGTGTGTGTGTAGCTCTGTGTGAGTGTGTGTGTGTGTGTGTGTAGCAGTGTGTGTGAGTGTGTGTGTGTGTAGCTCATCTCCCCATAGCCCTGATCAACCCCACTCCCCCGCTCTCCCCCCATAGCCCTGATCAACCCCACTCCCCGCGCTCTCCCCATAGCCCTGATCAACCCCACTCCCCCGCTCTCCCCCCATAGCCCTGATCAACCCCACTCCCCCGCGCTCTCCCCATAGCCCTGATCAACCCCACTCTTAGAAACACTGTCGTCTCTGTGACCTGTCCCCCCCTCCGCCCCCACCCCACAGACGCAGTCTCGGTTGGAGGAACTGCTCGCCCTGCGGGGGGACGTGTCGAAACTCACCGGAAGGCTGGGGGCGCTGGATGGGGAGGTGTCGGAGCCCGAGGCCACGGTGGGGGGGTTGGTCCGCGAGGCGGGGGTCCTGGCGGCCAGGCGGGGGCTGGTCGAGGGCCGAGCCCGGTCAGCGGAATCCGATGCCAGGAGCACACTGCGAGCCCTCGGGACATTCCAGCAAAGTGTCGCAGGTACCCCCGACCTGAGTGACCGGGTTACGGGGGGGAGAGTGACCGGGTTATGGGGGGAGAGTGACCGGGTTACGGGGGGGAGAGTGACCGGGTTATGGGGGGAGAGTGACCGGGTTATGGGGGGAGAGTGACCGGGTTACGGGGGGAGTTACCGGGCTACCGGGGGAGAGTGACCGGATTACGGGGGGAGAGTGACCGGGTTACGGGGTGGGAGAGTGACCGGGTTACGAGGGGAGAGTTACCGGGTTACGGGGGGAGAGTGACCGGGTAACGGGGAGAGGATCGGTTACGGGGGAGAGTGACCGGGTTAACGGGTGGGAGGACCGGTTTGGGGGAGAGTGATCGGGTTACGGGGGAGAGTGACCGGGTTACGGGGGGAGAGTGACCGGTTTACGGGGGGGGGGGGAGTGAGTGGGGGGGAGAGTGACCGGGTTACGGGGGGGAGGGGGGGGAGAGTGACCGGGTTACGGGGGTAGTGACCCCTCTCTGTGTGTGTGTGTGTGGCAGGGGCTGGAGTGACCTCCCGCCGCGCTCTCTCTCTGGCGGAGACGGTCTCCGCGCTCAGCCGGCTCTGCGCGGCGGAATCCGACCGGCTACGGCAGCGCCTCGCGGCCACCGCCCTCACCACGGCCCCCACCTCGGACACGGCCGCCAGCCTCAACGCCCAGGCCACCGGCGTCCTGCAGGTAATCCCGGCGGTGGGGAGCGGGTGTGGGGGAGGGGGGGGGGCGCGGGGGCCGATGATTGTGGGTTCGAGCCCCACTTCTGGCGGAGGGGGTTAATTATCGAGACTTATCCTGCAGCCGGCCGTGGCTTGAGCGCACGCATTCGTTTGGGTCAGAGAGAGAGAGAGCGCGCGAGCGAGAGAGAGCGCGCGAGCGAGAGAGAGAGAGCGCGAGCGAGAGAGAGAGAGAGAGAGCGCGAGCGAGAGAGAGAGCGCGAGCGAGAGAGAGAGAGCGCGAGCGAGAGAGAGCGCGAGCGAGAGAGAGAGCGCGAGCGAGAGAGAGAGAGCGAGAGAGAGAGCGCGAGCGAGAGAGAGAGAGCGCGCGAGCGAGAGAGAGAGCGCGAGCGAGAGAGAGAGCGCGAGCGAGAGAGAGAGCGCGAGCGAGAGAGAGAGCGCGAGCGAGAGAGAGAGAGAGAGTGAGAGAGAGCACCAAAACATCCCCCACCCCTTCCGTTCCCGCTGTCTCCGTAGGCCGCACGGGAGCTGCAGGTGGCCCGAGGGCAGAGCTGGCTCCCCCTCAACCTGACCATCCTGAGGACCCGGGTCCCGAGCCTGGGGGCCGATCCCATGGTCTCCGCCGGGAGGGCGTGCGCCTCCGTCTCCGACAAGATCCGAGAGGCCCAGAGGGACGTGGGCGAGGCCTCGAGAGTCGTGGCGGAGACCAACAGTGAGTGGGAGGCCATCATCATAATAATAATAATAATAATGACAACAATTCTTGCGTTCCACACAGCGCCCGATCACGTCTTCGAGACGTCTCCGAGCGCCTCACGGGGCAGACGGTAAAGTGCAGCGACTGTGTGTTTTGTGGGCGAAACGCGGCAGCCATTTGCGCCCGGCGAGAAGCCCCCCCTTCCCCCCCGCACCCCCCACACACACACACACACACACCCGGACGCCCATGTTTAACGTCTGCCGCTCAGGGTCGATGGAGGAGGCCATGAGGGAGATCCAGGCCGTGATCTCGGAGCTGAGGGCGGTCGAGGTTCGCGGGGACACGGAAACCATGGCTCGGAAGATCCGAGAGGTGAGTAACAAGGTCAACGGTATCACAATAATAACGGTACGAGTCATAAATATATATTATTCCAGTAACATACTGTGACAATCGCAGCGTTAGAAAGTGTAGTGACTGTGGGGTTTGCGGGCAAAAAAGTTCCGCTTTCCGCGGTACTTTTAGGCGCAGTGACTGTTGACCCCAAACTACACGCCCTAAAGCGTAGTGACCGTGAACCCCGCGGGGGCGAAACGCGGCAGCTAATTGCGCACAGCGACATCCACCCCCCCCCCCACCCCCTTCCCTTTCCCCACCCCCCCCCCCCCACACCCCGCAAACAGCGGGGTGGGACTGAGCGACCCCAAATGGCTCGTGGCCTCTCACACGTTGGTTTGGCAGGTGGCTCGAGGGCAGGAGGAGGTGGCTGGACTGACCCGGGTTCTACGGGAGGCGAGCGTGGAGCAGGAAGAATATATCCGGCGGCGGACAGCCCAGATACTCGCTCTGGAAGGGAGACTCGCTCGCCTCGACAGATTGAGCCCGGCCCGCAGCGGGGACTAAGCGCTCCGAGGCCGCTAAACCTGCGCGGAGGGCGCCGTACAAGTCGTTGTTGTTGTGGCGGTGGGACTCAAACCCTCCTCTGCCGCGGGGACCTGATTAAAGATGTCCGCGGTTGACCGAAATGTTTTCTGACGCCGTCGCGGCGTCCCAGTGATTTTTCTTTTAGACGGCGGGGCGATAGCCACGAGCTTTTTCGGACGTGGCTGGGGCTCGGGCGGGGGTGGGGGGGGGGGGGGGTTAGAGCCCTCGCCTCGCAAGCGAGAGAGGAACCAGGGTTCGATTCCCGGGCGGGTCAGGTCAGGGCAAGTTTCCTTCTAACCACTCCACACGCACACGCGAACGCACACGCGAACGCCTCTGTTGACCGGCAGTCAGCAGGAACCCGGTTGTCAGTCGATTCACGGATCGCTTTTCCGGGGGTAGTAGTCCCTTCGAAAAATAATAATTGGGTCGTTCGACCCACGGCTGTTTGTGGGGACGTCGCTGCGCGCAATTGGCTGCCGCGATGGGCCCGCAAAACACACACGGTCACTACGCTTTACAGCGTATCCCGTGAAGCAGTTGCCCCCGGAAGACGTGATAAGGCGCCGGGTCAAACTATTCTTGTTCTCGGTCGCCCCCGTATATTGTTTTATTAGTCTATTACCGCTTCGGCCACAGGATGGCAGTGACCCTCCACTCAGACACTATAAATGTACGCTGCAGTCGAGGGCGGAACTGATTCCCTACAGTCATCGAAACCGGTCCTTGCGGGTATACACCCGGTGCGGAAAACCGCAGCCCCTTATATGAAGTCGTTCGTTTTTCTGCGACTGTTTGGTTGGTAAATGGGGGTGACGGGCGCTATGGGAAGAAACGCAAGTCGGCTGCTGTTGTACTGTGGCGTCGATCACCCGAAATCGGGTGCCTTTCGCCCTCTCTGCGTCCGCCGCGCCGTATTTTTATGCCGCGCTGCTGTCAAGCTCGCTGGCGGGACGGCGTGACCGTGTGCGGCCGGACTTTCCGTCGCCAGCCCCGCTCGGTCCCGGTGCGAAAGCTCAGCGTTCCGCCTCTGTTTGCCCCGTCCGCGGATGAGTCTCCCACGTCCTTCCAGTCCGTTGCCAAGTTTCCCATCTCAGTCAAGGGCGCAGATCGGGTTATAATTGTCTCCGCGTCCCTTGAGGGCTCGAGAGAGGTGTGAAGGTGTGACCCGGAATCATAGAATGTAAATAATGATATGCATTTGACACAGCGCCTGATCACGTCTTCGAGACGTCTCAAAGCGCTTCATAGGATACACAGTAAAGTGGAGTGACTGTGCGTTTTGTGGGCGAAACGCGGCAGCCGATTGCGCACAGCAGCGTCCCCCACAAACAGCTGTGGGTTGAAGTGACCAAATTATTATTTTAGTTATTTTCAAGGGATTATTAACCCCGGATTCCTATTGACTGATGGTAAACAGAGGCGAGTGTGTGTGTCTGTGTGTGTGTGCGGAGTAAGGAAACTTGCCCAACATTTCGCCCTGACCTGACCCGCCCGGGAATTGAACCCGGGTCCTCTCGCGTGCGAGGCGAGGGCTCTAACCCCTGAGCCACGGGGTGTAAGAAGAAGGCCATTCGGCCCATCGCGCCTGTGCTGGCTCTTCAGGAGAGCTATCTCACTCGTCTGACTCCTCGGCTCTTACCCCATAGCCTTGGAAGCATTCCCATTACAAATATATATCCGACGTCCCTTCCGAAAGTTATTAGTGCGTCAATTTGACAAAACTCCAAGAGCCTATGAGGGTGTTGGGATGGGAACGACAGTCGAGCCTTATTCTGCGACGTCCAAACAAGCACACGTTCCAGCAGGAGTCACTCATTCCCTGTCGCCAGTCGGGGGTGGGTGGTGGGGGGGATTGAGAAGTCAATCACAGGCCTTTGCGGCTCTCAGTGAATGTAGGAACAGAAGGAGGACAACCCATTAAGCTGCTTCGGTGACTTTCTTTATCTCACAGGGGCCTCTCAGCAATTTCAAGCTCCTGACTGGAATCCGATGTCTTTAGGAACGGGGCGATTGGGGCGGAGGGCATCAGGTGGCGGAGGGGTCCTGTTCAAGCCGCTCTTTCATGGCTTCCAGTGAAATCTGGGACATTTCCGCTCAAATCGCCGCCCGGTGACGTTCTTGTGTGTGTGTGTGTGTCAGTTTGGCTCAGTGATGACGCTCTCGCCTCTGACTCAGAAGGTTTGTGGGGCTTGAACTCTCATGGGCTTAGTCGAATCCCCAACGGGCAGTGCTGGGGCGGGGGTGGGGTGTGTGTGGCATTATTCGGAGACGCCGTCCTTCGAATGAAACGTTAAACCGAGGTTTAAAAGGTCCCGCATCGCTACCCCCCCCCGGAAAAATCAATCATTTGTGGGGTTTGCTGGGCACAATTGGGCTGCCCCGTTCGCCTACCAATACACAGTCACTATTACACCATAGAGGCAGTGAAGCACTTCCTTCCGAGGTGATAAGACGCCGGATTGTTGGTATCATCGTCAGATCCTTCGCGGAGGCTGGAATCCTTATTTTTTTTTCCGGGGTGGGGGGGGGGCTTTTAAATAAGACGCAGAACACATGTTGATTCACAAGCCTGAGTTAATCCATCAGTCAGACTTTTCCAGTCCTGTACGCCGCACAGCAGCGTCCCCCAAACAGGCGTGGACTGAGCGACCAAATTATTATCATTATTATTATTTTGAAGGGGTTATTACCCCCAGGAAAAGCCATCCGCCAATCGACTAACAACCGGGTTCCTACCGACCGCTGGTAAACAGAGGCGCGTGTGCGTGTGTGTGTGTGAGAGAGTGTGTGTGAGAGTGTGTGTGGGGGGGGAAACTTTCCCGGGAATCGAATCGCTCGACAACAAAAGCTTCACACAATCGCTTCCGATCGCCCCGCAATCCTTGCACCACCTTTGAAGTTTGCTGGTTGGGTTCGCCGGCCAGGAATTCCCAACCCATTCGTCACCGGGGCCTTTGAAGTGAACATTTCTGGTCGGCGAGCGCGGAATTGTGGCAAAACAGGTGATCCGGGCTTAAAAACAGCGGGCGGGATATTTTCCCCGCTGTGTTAAATTCACATTATACATGACCTGACAGATTTAATTGTGGTCTTTGAAATGTGATTATTTTTCTGATCTTGTGCCCCTTCCCCTTTCCCCCCCCTTTCCCCCCCGCCTCTCTCCTGGCGTTACCCAGAGTTTGAGAAACATGAATTTTCCTGACATGAGAATGTGATCCGGTGTCTGCAAGTGTCACCTTCACTCCACGTCTACCCGTAGGTTAGGAACCATTCGCCCCAAGAGAGCCGCAGAAGGATTAAACCGGTGAACGTGTTTAAAGTGCTGTCTGGAGGCAGAGCAGAATGTGTTGTTCGAGTCAGGGTGGTCCGACTGACGGTGGCCCCCTCAGCACGATTTCACCCGCGCTCCCCCCGCCCACCCCCACCCCCACCCCCACCTCCATTTCACCCGGGCCCACCCGCTCCCTCTCCACAAACTCCACATCATCGTGAGACAGATTGTGGTCAAATAATAATAATAATAATAATAATAATAATAATCCTTGTCTTTAATATAACATCTCATCACCTCTTTGAGTCGTCTCAAAGCGCTTCACAGGAGATACTGTGAAGTGGATTGGCTGTATATTTTGTGGTCGAAAAAGGCCCCTTCGGCCAATTTGATCTCCTCCTTTCCAGAATACCCGCGTGACCGGCTTTCCTTTATAATGTGGAGCTGTTTCTTACACGGCCCAACCCTGGGACCCCGGCTACAACAACACGTGATGCTTACGCGGGGCTTTTCACGTCGGGAGAATGTCCCAAGCCGCCGGACCGTCAGGGGATTGGACCCGAGCTGGGGGTTGGGATCAGGAGGGGGTGGAGGGCCGGAGAGGGGGCTACACGGGAAGTCTACACTGTAGACCATCATGGCTCATGGCTGAGGTCAGCTCCGCCGCTTAGTGTAACTTTGCTTCAATCATTAACAACGGCTTAAACGGCCGCAGTGATTGTTGGGGCATTAACGAGCCGCAGGCGGAGAGGTCTTCAGTGACGTAACGTTGATTGATCCTCGTCGCGCCATTTGTCCCCCCCCCCAGTTTCTCGTCGAGTGAGCGACCGGCATGTGTGTGAGCGACGGGGGTGGGGGTGAGGTTTAAAGGCCCGAACATTTCAACGAGTAACCCCACAATGGTTTTTTTTTAAAAAAAATTTATTGTCTGTCAGGAAACCATGCACTCTTTCCAACCCCCAGCCCCCTCCCCTCCCCCCTTCTCTCCCCCTCCCTCCCCCCCCTCCTCTTGCTTTTTGGCGTGGGCTGAAATACAGTCAAGATAAACGACCACCTTAATAAAGTGCTGCTTAAAAGTATGTCTAACCTCATTAACTGTCAGCGCAAACAATGCGGAGTTGAGTATAAAGCCAATTCCGAGGCAGTTGGTCATTAATCACTCCCTGACAACATGAAGGGCTCTGGTCACTCTTTAAGGACCAGCTGTCGGACAAAACTGCAGAGCAACTGGAGACTTTGTTTAACGTTACAGACTTAAAATATGATCCAGATTGACTTTGAACCTGCAGATGATGTGTGGTCGAGAGACATTAAGAGCCGTGTTTTTGTATCTGAAGTGCGCGCACACACCATAAATCATCTTTTGCAACCGGCCTGGCCCGGGGGGGGGGGGGGGGGGGTGGGGGAATAGCTAGGGCCCCAGTTTGCGGAGTTTGGGGAATGTTTTAACATTCCACGTTGCAAACAGCCGAGGAATAAATGGTGAAGTGAAGTGAGAGGTCACAGCGCTGCCCACAAGATGGATGTCCCGAGTTAAACTGGGTTCTGGTTTCCCGTCTGCGTCAGTCGAACGGGAGGGTAAAAAAAAATGTAAAATACAGTCGACTTTCGTGCCTTTCGGGACTTATTTC